TAATGTATTTGGTTTTAATATTACTTACATCATCGACACTCTCATATCTTGTTCAACGTTGCAACTTGAGGACTGTCTCCTTTTTAAAATCAACCCAAGCCGACTAGGGAGTTGTGCTGACCCAGATGATAGGCCTGGCTTAGCCCTTTCGCCCGTGGTAGGGTGGGCTAAGCCGAAAAGGTGTGATGGAGAGTGCATTGCTCAGGGGAGGGTAAAGTTCAAATCTCTCTGTACAACCTTCTCATATGTACTGTAAAACCAGTTTGAATTAATGGAATATTACTACATTGAAAAGAAAAAGAACGTGTTGGATTTAATATTATTTACATTATTGAACTCTCATATCTTGTTCATACTGTTGCTCTGTTGCAACTTGAGGACTGTCGTTTTGTTTCTTGCGTGTTTATTAACTTCTAAATCGACTGCTACACATTGTAACTTTGAGTGGACATAGAGACCAACGCGGAAATGAGCTGGGCATCCCTGGAGAATATGAATGTGATCCACCAACTGTTTTTATTCAACTTGGCCCTGATGTGATTGTCATATGTTTAGTAGAAAAATAATTTCCAAATGCAATCCAATGACCATTTGCATACAAACTTTTGAGGTAGCTTTTTTACTTTTAGAAATATTGGAAAATTTTCACTTCACTTGAGCTAGAGATGTTCTATTCTTTGATGAAAACCCTTGTTGCTTACCATTTTGATTGAACAAGTAATTAATTAGTACTTTGTTCTGTTGTAGGATGGTCAAGTAGTTAATTTTAGAGTGAAAAAGACCATTCATCTCGGAAAGTTGATGAGTGTATACTGTCAGCGGCAATCTCTAGATATCAAGGCAATTGTATTTCTTTATGATGGTCGTTATATCAAACTAAAAAACACTCCTGCTCAGGTATTTTTCTAACCCCCACACACATACACCTCTTCAATTTATGTCTGAACTCTTTCTACTTGCATCTAAACTTGACTAATTTATTTGCAGCTTGAAATGGAGGATGGTGATGAGATTGATGCAATGTTGCACCAAACTAGTGGCTAAACATTGTTAGGAGTGAAAGTGGAAGAAGGGAGGGGTATGGGGACTAATATTTCAATAATTATATGTAAGATGGTATTCAAATATAGCCAAGAGCCCAAGACTTTTCTGTTTGTTGTTTTGATAGGTAAGATTTGTGGTGCAGACAGGTTTTGATCCCTGCCCTGTGGGACTTATTTAGTATGGCAAGTTTTGATCCCTGTGCTGTAGTTGTTAGAACTTAGAATGTCTGGTACTTACTGTGTTCCACTGCAAATATCTACTCAGGGAAGAAACATGCCATCCAATGTCATGTATTTACAGGCTTACAGTATCACCTACTGCATATTTCATTGAAACCGCAATATGCAAACATCTCTGTTTCATATATGGGAATGCACATCTGTAGTTAGGTTGAACAATCAATCACATTGTTTTTCAAAGAAGAAATTTACTATCAAACTTAATAAAAAGAATTATGTTTACATGAATGCTACATAGAGATCCAAGGGTAATGAGCTCATTCTACAGGATCTTGCTGCCCCTTAGTTCTCAGCACATACAAGGACAGGTATGCAGGGTATTTGCTCTGTTAAAGAGGAAAATCCCCGCAAAATTTCTTCCTCAGTCTGCGATAATGCCTTGCAAAATTACCACAAACGTTCCTCCATCACATTACTTCTTCTTCTGAGTTCTGACATTGAAGTGGTTCCTTGAAGACTTGCAGTCGTTTTTGCTATGGTTCAGGACTTCATGTCATGGTTACCCAGTAATATGGGCCTATAGGTGGGCCCATTGGAACATGAACTTTGCTCGAACCTGAACTAATCCATCCACTATCTCATTTACTACCCGGCCCGTTTGAGATTTTTATTGGTATAAAAACCCTCGAATTGGATTAGGGTTTTGTGCTCATCTCATCATCGTTGTGAATACTAGAAGAAACCAAAACCCTACTACTTGCAAGCAGATTAATCATGGTAAAATTTCTTCTTATTTTCTAATTAGGGTTTAAATGAACTCTAATTGATTTACCTTCTTACTGATTGTTTTTTTAGTGCTGAATAATTATAATTTAAATCATTTGATGCTTTGTAATCTAGTTACAGTTACTAGTGTTTCATAGATAAATTTGAGTTTGATAGGTTTTACCAAAATCCGAAAAGGGATTGTTTGTTAAGGGATTGAAACTGCTTTTTTCATTTGGAATATACTTTGTGGTCATGTATTAAGATTTGAAATGTGAAGTCACATTGCATTAGACTGATTTTGAAAAATTTGTACGACGTTGTGAGTATTATGCCTGTGGTGTGGTATGTGATGTCTTTCATTTTTATTAATAATTTATATGGAACTCAATGCTTCAAGCAGGTCTTGCGACATAGGTTGCTTAAATTTTGTTAAGTTTTTTGTTATTTAATTCCTGCTTATTTTTTTGTAACATGTAGACGGATTTTTGTCTAATGGTTTTGCTAAATTGAATTAATACCATTTGAAACATGATGATATTGTTGCCCCAGTCTTACACACATTTATAGGTGTGTTATGGTGATTGACACCTAGATCTAATTTTCTTCTTCAATTTTTTTTTTGTTTTGTTGAAGTTTTCTTTGATTTTTAGTCTGAAATATGCTAGGAGAAATGACGATTTGTACCCACCTTTACTGCGATCTTATGATGATTTCTATTACATGCACTACCATCTGATCTCTCTAGCATTAGGAATCAAAGTTTTTCAATTTTTTTTCTCTCAATTTTTTACCTCAATAATGTGTGCAAGCTATGATGAATATTGTTAATCGTTACTGAGGTAACTATGATTATTATCTAAACATATCACCATCTTTCGGCTGAGATTGCACATGAAATTATCATTCTTTTTGGATTTCTTCTTTTTTTCTTTTACTAGAAAACACTAATAATTGACTTTAGAAATATAAATGCCTTAGGTATCTGATGCCAAGTCTCCTAAATCCTTGACTTGGTGTCTCGTTTACACGGCAGAAACGAAAATTAAACAGGCCTTGCGACACAGGTTGCTTATATATATATAAG